AGTGTACAACCGTCTTGAGCCCAAGAAGCAAGGCCCTCCCCTGCCTGGTCAGCCTGGCTCCTCCCTCTGCCCTTCTCTCAGCCTCTCCTCTCCCCTCTCCCTCCCTCCCCCAGGTGGCTCCATGAGAGCCCAGGGGAGCAACAGAGCTCCCAAATCACTCCCTATAATACCTCTTTGTGGGAGGGGCATGGGTCTAGATGTCCCCCTCCCTGACTCTAGCCTGAACCTGGAGTTCAGGACAGGCCCCCATCCTCGGTTGTTCCCACTCCCCTGTTTCCTTCTTCCAACCCAGATTTGCCCCTGTCCTGAGCAGGGTGACTCCCCTCACTGCCCCATCCCCAGTCTCCAGGTAATAGTCCACTTGCCCACCACATTCACACACCCCCACCCCCCATTCTTGTCCCTCTCCCTTCCCTCTGGGCTCTGGAGCTCAGCCCACTTCCAAGGGTCCACCTGTGGCCCGTCTGGGTTCAGTGGAAAGGGCCCCAGGCGGCTGTCCTGGGTGCCAGCCCTGGCTCTGCCTCTAACTTCCCTATGACCTTGAGCAGCTCCTGTCTGTCTCATGAGGGGTCCGTGGTCCTTTCCAGCACCGTCATTCTGGAGTCTACCAGCCCAGGTTGTGGGGGTCTCAGGCTCGCACCAGGCCCCCCTTGGCCCCTCACTCTTCACTGCACAAGGACAGGGAGCAGGTGGTGGAGAAGCCCCTTTTCAGGTGTTCACAGGGGCCTGGTCCCCCTCCCTGTAGCCTCAGCACTGGACCCCCCAGACGGATCTTCACTAATGATAGGATGAGACCCATAAACAGGGCCTGGCGTGGGAGTCAGGAGCACGCCCCATCCTCCTGTGGCCCCAGCAGCAGCCCCTTCAGGCTGTGTCCTCTCCCCTATCACACCCCCAGGGCTTCTGGGGGGTGCCTTCCTGCTTCTCTAGCCTCCAGCTCACATTCATTCTCCGCCTGTCCCTCCAGAGTGGTCCTGTGATAGTTTTTTTTTAATTTTTTTTTATTCATTTATTTTTTCCCCCAAAGCCCCAGTAGATAGTTGTATGTCATAGCTGCACATCCTTCTAGTTGCTGTATGTGGGACGCGGCCTCAGCATGACTGGAGAAGCGTTGTGTCGGTGCGCACCCGGGATCCAAACCTGGGCCGCCAGTAGCGGAGCGCGCGCACTTAACCGCTAAGCCACAGGGCCGGCCCTGTGATCGTTTTAAAACATGTCCACAACTTTGACTCGACTCCCATCAACGAGCGGAATCTAATTCCCCTCCCCTGGAATCAGGCCAGCCTTAGTGACTTGCTTCTAATGAAGAGAAAGAACATGGCAGAGGCGACACTGCGTGACGTCCAGGGCTGGTTCGAAATGATGACGCCTGGCTCTCTCCTAGGAGCTTGTCCTTGGAACGCAGCCACCACGCTGTGAGGAAGCCCAGGCCACATGGAGAGGCCACATGTAAGTGTTGGGGCCCACAGCCAGCATCAGCCACCAGACATGTGACCATCGAGCTTTCAGATGCTTCCAGCCCCCAGGTTTCAAGCTGCCCCGCTGAGGCCAGCCCAAACTGCAGGTTTGTGAGCAAAATAAGTGTTAGCTTCAACCACTCAGTTGTGGAGTGGTTTGTGCAGAGCATTAGGTAATTAGAGCAGGTTGCAAGCCCTGGCTGCTGCTGATTTCTACCCAAAGACAGTGTGTATGTATGGGTGTGTGTGTGGCGGGGGTGTCTTCAGCCTGAGGCCTCTGGACTACTTGAGATCTCGGGACCCAGACTCCAGCCGCCATTCAGCTTTGACACCTATTGCTTCGTGTACGAAGTACACGAAGTGTACTTCGTAATTGGAACCTGCTTCTCCCTCAACCTTAGCCCGCTCAGGGCCTTGTTAGAACAGGCCCTGCCTATGTTTGCATGGAATTTGTGTGCAATTTGCATACATCGACATGGGTCATATTAGGTGGTTTCCTCCCTGGGGGAGGTACCAGCATCTGGGACTCTTGGAGGAGACAGGGGCCCTGGAGGTTACTTGGCCTCCTGTCCCACCCACTGTAGGGTCTGCTTGAACAGATGACAAATACACACACACACACACACACACACACACACACACACGGCTGCCCTTGGATGGCTGGAGTTGTTAAGGAATTCCTATGTTACAAAGTTCTTTGTAAAGAAAGGTGATGTATTGTATCTCTATTTGGGTTCAGTTCTTTCCTCTGGGAAAATCAGGGCAAATCAACCGCTTCCCCCAGAGATGCAGGACAGGTACCATGACGGCCTCAGGCTTCTCTTCTCAGTTCAGCATCCACAGCACCATCACTGTTTCTGGCCTGACCTCGGCCCCCAACTGCCCCTGCAGGCCTCTTCCAGAAGGGCCAGGCCAGGGGCTTTCAAACTTCTTTTAGGAGCAGAACCCTGTTTTTAAGTGAAATCTCACCAACGGTCCAACATATTAGAGAGATAAAAGTGCAGCTGCTCTGGCTGAGGGTGGGCAGGAAGAGGCCCCCCCACCCCTCCCCCTACCCTGCAGAGAGGTCCCTCTACACCCCTAGCCACAGCTGGAGAACCCAGCTTGCAAACCACTATCCTGGTTTGTTCCTCTCAAAAGGTGCCTCTGGGTACAGAACACCACCCTCCAGACCTGCAGAGCTTCCCAGGGGTGAGCCCTGGCTCTCGAGACTTCAGCAGCAGAGGGGACATTGACATTCTAAGCAGTTGCATTATACCATTGCCTCTTACTAAGCTTGAGACCCACTGAGACCTCCAGATCTTTGTCAGCACCACAACCTTTAAGCTAAGATTCTCTTGGCCTATCCTAAGCCTTGGTAGCCCCAGACACCTGGCTTCAGGAGCCTGGAGTGAGGAGAGGACAGGGAGGAATGGAGAGGCCTGGCCGGAGGTTTTGGCCATGTGCCCTGTGTGAAAAAGTCACTCAGTCAGAGCCCCAGTTTCCTCAGCTTTAGGATGGGGAGGAAAATGGTCCTTCCTCATAGACTCTGCATGAAAAGCACATAGCCCTGCCCAGTACCGGCTCAATGCTTATGGACTGTCACTATAGAGCCGAGGGACTGGTCTCGGATCCCTCACTGCCGGCTAAGAAGGCCCGGAGCAGTGGTTGGAGGGGCAGTGGTTGGAATGCAGACCCTGGGACCAGGAGGCCTGGGCTGGGTGAAAACTCGGATCCTGCTGTAACTGGCTGTGTGAGACTCTGGATATTTCCTTCATTTCTCTTACCCTTTCTTGGTTTCATCATCTGCAAAATGGAGATGATGATAGACTATCTCCCTCCCAGGGAGCTTGTGAGGACCCAGGGAACCCCACCGCATGTGAAGACCCAGCACGCACGGTGCCTGTAAGTGGTGCATAGGGGTCTGCTGTTGTCATTGTGGGCTCTGACCCTGTGAGGGTCTGCCTGCCCCCTACCTGGCTCCCCTAATCCGAGCACTCCCACCCCCTCCCCCAGGACCTGACACAGCCACCAGAAGACTCAAGGTTCACTTTGGCAACAGGACTTTTATTCAATCAAAACGAGTAGAGTGTGACAAACATCAGGCCAAGTCAGGCCAGGTGGTCCCCCAGCCCCTTCCTCCCCCCAACTCACCCTTCCCACAGGAGAGGGGGTTCCAGGATAAAGGGGGGTGCAGAGGAGCCGCTGTGGGGACCAAGGGGGCACTGCCCGGGAGGTTTGAGGAGCCCTCACATGAGCCCTGCATTTGGGAGAAGGAGTGCATTGCCCTTCCCCGAGTCCACACGGACATGACTTCAGTCTCCAGGAAAACACCACAAAGCCTACCTTCTTCAGCTAATTAACTAAAGTTTGGGGTGGGGGTCCCTAGAGGGTTGGGGGTCAGGGACTTGATGGTCTAATCTTATGCTTAAGGAATACACATCTTTTTTTCCTTTAAAAAAAAGTTTTCTTTCTGCTATTTAAAAAAATGTTTCTGAGTGTAACCAAAAATAAGTATCTGTTTCCTTGATTTCTTTTATTTTCTTCTTCTTTAACTAAGTATTTCAAAAAATGACACAACAGAAAAGAGAAACAAGAAGTCACAAGAACGTAAATCCTTAAACACACCTTGTATAAAAATAGCTTCTGGCCACATCTGCTGACAGTGGTCATTCCACTGTCCAGGGGTGGGTCAAGCTGGCTGTGTCCCATGGGACAGAGGGCTGGGGACCCCCCATGCACACACACACCCGTCACACACACAGTACATTCCAGGGCCAGCCTGCTCCAGGGGCTCCGTATCTGGGAGGGACGGGGGCAGGCTGCGGGGTGATGTCCCACCCTCTCAAGGCCCAGGCGGACAGAGGGCCATCGGGATCCCAGTCAAGGATGAGTTGGCTGAGAGGGTCAAAATGGGAGTGCACAGTTGAGACAAGACAACAAGACAAAGTACCAACAGCATGCTGGGAGGAGGCTAGTTTGGAGCAACAATTTATATTTCAAGGAACAAATTTTCCTCATTTTTGGCTTTTTTTCACATTTTCTTTGACCAATTCCATCTTTATTTCTGTGGGTCCCAAGAGGCCCACCCTTGGTGTCTTAGCCTCCTGCCTCCTCTCTGGGTGAGAGATGGGGGGCTTTGGGCAGAAGGAGCCAGGAGGGAGGGTCCAGTGACACAGCACAGGCCCGGAGAGCCAGCAAGCCTTGAGGTAGATGGTTTCTTTCACATCTGGAAATGGGGAAGTGCTTTTTTTTTCCTTTTTTTTTTTTTTTAACTCTGGACAACAATGTGGGGAGGGAAAGGGGGTGCCCCTAAAGGGGCTTGAGGTAGGAGTACATTCGGGGCTCTGTGGGGTGGGGGGGCTGAGGCCACAGTCCCGCTCCCCCAAGGACATTCATTCCGGCTGAGGTAGGTGCTGAGAGCCAAAACAGCAAAAATCCATCCTGAGAAAGCAAGGTCGGTGGAGGGCGACAGTGTCAGGGCCCAGCCACAGCAGGGGCATATTTTTGGAGTCTAATTCACCTTCCTCTCTTTTTTTTTTTGATTTTAAGTTTGCTTTTTTTAAAGGAAAACATTAGTTCAGTTCCAAGTCATGTGGGTACCAGGCAGAGGTGAGGGGGGCATTAGCCCAAGGGAGGGACTCCTGCAGGGACCCCTCCAGGTGCTTGGAGGGTTCCCTGCCGAGGCTACTTTAGGTCTTGATACCCTGAGGGGCAGTCAGGACAGAAATGCTGGGAAGCCCCCATCCGAATCCCACATGACAGGAGATATCTTGCCTTTGACCTGAGAATGGGGGTTGCCCCCTCCAGAGCCTGCCAGACACAGGCTACTGTTCTTAGTGAGCTGGCGGGGCCGCTGGTGCTGTGGAAGGCCAGGTAGCCTGCTCTTCACTAAGGAGGGCTGGGCCTACATCCTGGGGTGGCGGGGCAGCCGCAGGGCCTGCGCAGGGGGCCTTGGCCTCCGATGTCATCTCCTCCAGAAGGCCGAACCCCTGAAGCGGCAGCATGGAGAACTGGGTCTCCTCACACAGGCCGGGGGCCGCAGGATCCTGATGGGAAAAGGACCAGTCACACAGGCTTCGGCATGAAGGCCAGAGGGGCAGGCTCTGGATCCAATCCCACTCAGGACTTAGGGTCTCCAGGCCTCCCTGCGACTCAGGGGCACAGAGAGAAGCACCGGCCCTGAGTTTTGTGCCTTGGTGAAGGCCGATGACCAAGGCCCACAACCCAGGTGAAGAGAGGGCAGAATCGGGAGATGGTCAGAGCCTGAAGGAGGAGGTTTGCTCCAAGTGAGGGCACTCACCGTGGGTCTGGGCTTAGGTCTGGGGTCCGGCTGCCCCGCTGCCCCAGCCGAAGGGAACAATTGCTCCAGTTCCTTCACGTCCACATGTTTCTCGTCTCGGCCCAGCTGGCCCCTCTCTCCCCGTCCCGCCCCATTCAGTGCCAGGACGCCAGGGTCCCTCTGGCTCCGGGGGCCCTGAGGAGGGGAGAGCTGGTTTTCCACATCCTTACACAAGAGGACCCTAAGGGGTGAGCCAAGAGTTAGGAGGAGGGCTGGGAGAGGGAGCAAGAACGAAAGGATAGACAGTGAGCCCCAAACTCTCCTTTCCCTGCAGCAACTCCTTCTCCGGGCCTCTCCACCCCACACCAGCCCAGCCGCCTCTCCCTGGCCCAGGACCCACCTGCCCCTTTGGCCAAACAGGAGGAACAGGACACAGAAGATGATGCAAGTGACCCCAATGTGGATGCCAATGACGATGCCCATAGTGGACGTCTGGTTGGTGGCTTCCTCCTTCCGACAGTCACATGGTGGGCTCAGGGCTGGGGATGGGGGTTGGCAGTAGGTCGGCGGCTGTGGCTCTCCTAGCCTGAAGCACCCCCAGACACCTAGCCTTTGGAGGCTCCTTCTCCCTCAGCTGCTCCCACCCCCAAGTCCATATACCCTTTGCCCTTGCCTATGGGACCCCAGCCCAAACTTTGTGATTCTTTTCACAAGTTATTGAGGACTAACTTTGTGTCAGACACTGGGAATAACACTTTACATGGACCACTTCATCCTCGCCACAGCTCTATAAAGTAGGTCTTATTATCCCTGTTTTATAGAGGAGAAAACTGGGGCTCAGAGAGGTTATGTAACTTGCCCGAGGCCACGCAGCTAGAATGCTGCACAGCCAGACTTCAAATTCAGGTCTAAGCCTATGTTCTCAAGGGCTGCGTGCACTCTTCCACCCTCCTACCTTCCCTGGATGCCTGCTCCCCGCCCTCCCTCGCCTCCATTCTTGAGTCAGTCTGTAGCCCCACACCCCATCCCCAACCCTCACCTGTCCTCTCAGACGCTCCCCTCAAAGACACGAAGCGGACTGTTGCATTGCCATCCCCATGCTGGTTGTAAGCGAGCAGCTTCACCTCATACACTGCAGTGGGGTCTGGGGAAAAGGAGGGCGGCTGAGTGACTGGCCCAGCCCCCGCCGGGTGGCTCTGTCCAGCGGGGGAAATAGAGGTGACCTCTGCACCCCTGCCCAGCTCCCCAAGCCCGGCTGTGTCCCCCTCACCGAGCCGGCTGAGGTTGTAGGAGGAGACAGTTCCAGGCAGCAGGATGGGGCCGGTGAAGGAAGCCTTGTTTGCTGCGCGGTAGAACAACTTGAAGCCGCCCTCGTGCTGGCCCAGCCGGGGCCAGGGCTCCCACAGCAGCTGCAGGGAGGAGCCGCCGAGGACCCGCACAGACAACGGGGGTGGGGCGGGGGCTGCGGGCGGAGACGGAGGCCAAGATGTGAGGACCCGCAGCTCTACCTTACACCTTCCATCTGCGACCCAGACCCCTAGGAGCCCAACAGCTCTCTGGCCTCCTCCTATCCAGGGCCTCTGCTTGCTCCAACAGTACCTTCACATGATTTAGAAAAGGACGCCCTTTCCTCCAGGTAGACCCAGCCCCCACTCAGCCTCAGGGCCAGGCACCTTGTGTAGTGCACAACCCGAACAAGTGTGCGTCGTGGGTCTACTCTAATACCCTGAGTGTCTGCGGCTCTGCACTGCGCCCCCAGGCCTCACCTTCACCCCGGGTGCTGGCCAGCGTGGGGGCAGAGGCTGAGCTGGGCCCCCTTGGTGTGTAGGCCTTGATGTAGAAGCTGTAGGCAGTGGAGGGCTCCAGGTCGCTCACCAGGTGGTGAAAGGTGCTCTTGCTAACTGCCTCCTGATACTCCAGCTCCGGGGGGTCTGGGAGGCGAAGGGTAGGGCAGGGGCGTGTAAGGGGCATTGGTGAAAGGAGGGCAGCCAGGGTGCAGGGGGGAGAAAGATGGAAGGTGTGGGGTCAGGACGTGCAGGATTGAGAGGGATGAGAAACAATGGAGAAGGTGGGGGCTGCAGGGCCAGCCTGGCCCTCCCGGCCCCTACCCACTGGCCCCCACCCACCGGCGGCCTTCCTGATGTGCAGGACGTAGCCGATGATCTCCTTGGTGTTGACCAGGGGCTCATCCCAGGACACGCGGACCTCAGTGGACGACACGGAGACCGCCCGCACATTGAGTGGGGGCCCAGGCAGCCCCTCGGCCCACAGCACGGTCAGCCTGGCGCTGGCCTGCGAGGAGCCAGCACTGTTCTCAGCCACGCACTGGTAGATGGCCTCATCTTCAGGGCCGATTCCAGAAATGGTCAGGGTGCTGTAGGGGGAAGGAGAGCCTCAGATCCCCTCCACCTCTCAGAGCACCCCTGGACGTTAGCCAGATCTCCCCGTTGAGAGACGGAGAAACTGAGCCTCTCCGGAAGGCAATGACTTGTCTGAGGTCTCTCAACAAGTTTAGTGGCAGACTGGGGACTCAAACCCCAGTCTCCAGACTCCTAATTTAGTGCTCTTCCCTGAGGGGAGGGGCACAGCCTGCCAGGCCACTCCTTCCAGGCCCCTTTCCCACCACTTCCTAGGCCTCACTCCAGCACCCACCGCACGTGCCTGTTGTTATTCTTGAGCCTGACGTGGCCTCCTGGCTCCAGCACCTGTCCATTCTTCAACCACGTGACATGAGGGGGTGGCTCACCCTGGGCTTGGCAGGTGAACATGGCTGTGGTCCCAGCGGGCCTGGAGATGGACTGGGGGTGCTGGACAAACTCTGCTGGGGCTGGGGTGGGGGGCACAGAGAAGCATGAGGAGTGGTGAGGGTCAGCTGGAGAGGGACGAAATAGCTGTGGGTGAAGGGATGAGGAAAGAGGACGGGGGGGTGGAGGTCTGCAGGGGACACACATCCACCCCTTGGAGAATCCTCAGGGCAGCCCACCCTCCACCCTGGCCCAGGCTCCAGGAGATGGTGGCAGGCCACCCCTCCTCCACCCCAGAGAGGCAGACCCAAGAGAGGACTCCATTTTAATAACTATTTAAGAGACTGACGTTTGTATCCGAAAGCGATCAAGCTGAGCTCCCTGTTCAGGAAATTGTTAAATAAATAAATGTGCTAATAGGTTTAGCTACACCTCCAAGGCGGTAATGATGGGGAGATGGATGAGCCCTCAGCACAGGCCCCCTCGCCCCTACATTCAATTCCACTCTCCTCCAATCCCAGGCCTCAAGCCTCCATTAACACCCAAGAAATGAAATGCTCCATCACTTTCATTTGGGTAGATTAACGGCACATGGAATGCTCAACAGACGGCATTTAAGTTCCTAATGCCCCTTCCTCCCACCCCTCCCCAGCTCTCCGGGAGGGAACAGCCACAGAAACCCCTGAGAATGGGAACCCAAGTCCCGTTCATGCGGGCAGTTGAGCCCAGGGCAGGAGGATGGACAGAATGATCTGGTGTGAGATGACAAACACACCGAGAACACGCAGGCAGGTGTGAGCATGGCAGGGCCACATGTGTGAATGAAAACAGCATGTGGGGCAAGAGACCCGTGTGAGTGACACAGGCAGGGAAACCAGCTGAGATTATAATGTGGAAATGACTCCGGAGGTAGGGGGAGGGGTGGCAGTCACACCTGGAGGGGCACACAGGGGCCAGATGACCAAGAATGTCCTCCCGTTCCCAACACACCCTCGTCAGGGAGAGAGGAGAGAGCTGCCACCTTTAGCCTGGCCTGGGGGCCTGGGGAGGGGCAGGGGACAGGATTCGGGTGAGTATAGGAAACTGGGTGAGCACAGGACACGGGGCTTGGGCCAGGGATGTTGAGGAGGCAAGGAATGGCTCAGGAGGAGGGGGCTGCGTGGAAGGCCCTTCCCTTCCTCTGCTGGGGGTGGGGGGCCGTACCTTGCACGACCAGCCGGCCCTGAGCCGTTCTCCTCACCCGGGTGCCGGGCCTGTTGGCGGCACAGACGTAGACACCTGAGTGCTGCACAGTCACATCTGAGATGATGAGGTTCCCCGTGCCCAGCACCTGGATGCCCTCCACCCCAATGGGGCGGCCATCTGAGGAGGAAGGGGAAGGGGGGTGACGGAGGGTCAGGGAGATAGATGTGGGAGCAGGGAAGTGTAGGAACATTCCAGACTGTTCACAGTCCCACCAGTCTTCCAGGGAGCCCCAACCTTTGACTCTGCACCTTCCCTCTACAGCATCACCATTGTGGAGGTGGCAGGAGCAGCACGGAAAACTCTCGCCTAGCAACAGAGACCCAGGTCCTAATCCTAGCATTGTCAGCGACTCGCTGGAGACCTTCAAGTCCCTTCCCCTCAGTTTCTCAATCAGGAAAGTAAGGGGTTTGGATTAGATGGACATTTCCCAGCCTGGTTTGTCTCTCTTGAAAAAAGTTCCATGGTCAAATATCCATTCCATTCCGGGACTGTCATAATGCCCATTAATATAAAGGCTCTGAGAAGTCCCACAGCAAAGGGACCTGGTTGACTCTGTTTCCCAAACGTGTTAGACCACCAAGCCATTCTTTCCCCCTTGCAGATCACACTTTGGGAAATGTTGGGCCAGATGGTCCTTGCAGTGCCTATAGGCTCCTCCTAATGGTGAGGCCACTCTTTCTAGCCTCTCCCAGGACCGGGCCCTCCCCCCACCACAGGATCAGATTAGCACAGTCAGAATGCAAGGAGACAGCTCCCCATTCAGTCCCTGAAGTGGTGAAATCTACTCCATTATCCCGCCTGCTGCCCCCTCCTTCCCCAATCACTCAGCTGCTACAATGTGGCGCGGTCTCCTTGTGAATGCCCACCCCACCCCAGCCCCTCCAGACTCTCCTTCCCCCGGTGACCTTTCTGCTCAGACAATGTGGGCCCATCTGCACCCTTTCATTTCTCTCCTTCAGCTGCCCAGGGATTTAGGCTGGGGGATTTAGGGGGCCAAGCTAGAGACTGGGGAGCCCAGAGTGAGGGTTTGAGAACTGGCTGAGATTTTGAGGGGTTTGGAACTGCACAGCTGGGGAGTATGGCCAGGGTATAGAGGGCGGGGAGGTGCGGGAAGGGAAAGAGATTAGAGGTGCTGAGAGCTGCAGAGGGGTTCTGGAGGGTGAGGGGAGCATGGAGGAGGGGAGCTGGTGCAGGATGGCCAGGACTGGACCGAGGTAACCCAGGGAGCTAAGCCATCCGTGCAGGGGGAGGGAGAATGTCGTGGGCAGGCAGACCTCCCTGGTCCTGCCAACGAGAGGGAAACTTACCCCTTCCCCAGGCCTTGGAGAGAACAGACCCCCACGGAGAATAAACAGGATTCAAAGTCCTCCTCAGAGCTGGGTGATGAGACGGCCCTCCCAGGGGGTGGGTTGGGGTGGGAGAGGCAGGGGCTGCGGGATGAGGCTCACCCAGGCGGCTCCAGGACACAATGGGGCGCGGGTTGCCCGTGGCGACACACTCCAGCACGGCGGTCTGGTGCACCGTCAGGGTGAGGTTCTCAGGCCCCACGAGGATCGTCGGCTCCTTGTATGCCCTGGAGCCCGAGCCTGGGAGGAAGATGCCACGTTTCTTCACTTCAGCTGGGACCCTTCCCACCTCCTCATCCCCTCCACAACCCAGGACATGGGGGGGTGGGAAACACGCTTCAGCCCAGAAACCAGGTCCTGTGGGCAGAGAGGAGATGTCAGGGGCCCCAGGACGTTGCTCACATCCATTCGTCCACTCCAGGCCCTGCAGGGCCTCTAGCAATGGGAGATCCCCCGGGATAAGCAGAGGATGGGCTTCCCCAGGTAGAACTGAGCCAGAGAGTAGGCTTCGGATTCCTTCTGAACCCTCTCGTGAGGAGCACAGAGCTTTGTGCTTAGAAGGTGCTCTGTAGGCACTTGGCTGACACGTCTCCAGGAGTCATTTGAAGGGGGATTGATTTGAAGGTGGGGAGAAGTCAAGAGGTGGGTTGGGGGAAGAACCAGGCAGGGCAAAGGACCCTCACCCGACACGGTGAGTCTGGCCCCGTGGCTGACCCGGACACTGGCAATGTTTGAGGCCACGCAGTAGAAGACACCGCTGTCCTCAGCCCGAAGGCCTGTGATCTGCAGGACCCCCTTGGGCAGCAACGTGTACCTGTTGAGGGGGGCACAGTTGACCACTAGCATACCCACTGGCACCATCGGCCATAGGGACACTGAGCATCACAGAAACAGCCCAGTACCTGGGCACTGTCCCCATGTCACCATTGTCATCACAGACACATACTGGGACTCTCATAGGTGGAGGCACCTGCAAAATCCAGCCTTGACAGCAATCACACACAGTCCTTCTCATGGACACATCCATGAGTGTCGAATCTGGGCCCAGCAAGCCACATGGTTACTCAGCTTTAACACAGGTGCAGAAACATCACTGTCTCAGGTGCCTGTGGGCACGGGCGTCAGCTCCCAGGGCCACAGGCAGTCCCTCTCTAAGGCTCAGACACTGGGCCTGCCTCTCCATCCACCCTCCATCTTTCCCACTCGTGGCTCACCTCTCATTGTCCGTGTCAATGGGGACTCTGTTCTTCTCCCATGTGATCAGGGGTTTGGGAAGCCCATGGATTTGGCACTGGAAACGGGCCACACCACCCTCCTCGCCCACGGTGGCCTGGGGATGCACGTGGAAGTCCGACATGGCTGGAGAAAGAAAGGAGAATGTGTATGGGGAAGACACCCCATAGAGGTGCAGGGGGAAGGTGGAGTGTGGGGGTCACAGGCCCAGGTCTCGGAGACCTGGAGCTCACCCCATCGAGGGCAGGGGTCTTCCTGGAACTGGCAGACGCAGGGCAACAGCTTGGGGAACACCTCAGAGCTTACCCTGCCTCCACCAGTGGGAAACATCCCCCCCAAGGGGTGGTATAGGCTGGGCTGGGACACTTTGAGAAAGGTCTAGACAAATTCTTGGACGACGAACCTCTAACGAGGAAATCTTGGGCTGCCGACCCACAAAGGCCAGTCAGAGAAAGCCCTCCTCCCCACTTTTTCAGCTGCTTTTGGATTTATTTTTATACAGTCCCGCTAAGGTATGCAAGGACTAAGTATTATGTTGTACATTTTACAGAATAGGAAACTGAAGCCCAGAGAGGGGAAGTTCAGTGTCACCCCGTTGGGACGCCGGTCTTTGGACCCTGGTTACCAGTGCCCAGTGGCTTTTTTTGCTCTCTTCATCATCCTCCTACCCCCAGATCTTCTGCAGCATCTCGATATACCCCAAGAGGGTGGTGCATCCATCCAAGGTGACAAGCCTCTCAGAAGACTGTCAGACCTACCAATCTACATTTCAATGTGTCATAAATATTCAGGGCCCCCCTCCCCACCTTTTGGGGATCTGAATAGCGTGAACTCTGTTCTGCAGAGGCCGGCACAGAGGGGTTGTGGTGCACCTCTCCCCTCACCATTTTAGACTGGTTAAGTGTTCCTGCCCACCCTCATTCCCACCCATCCCAAACCCCAACCTGTAAAGCCCAGGGAAGGGGCCCTCCCACGTGGGTTGCCAGCTTCAGCACCAGGGCTGCGATTTCATTAAAATCCACTTTGCTTCAAGTGCGGGAAGGCGGCTCACCATCTGTCCAGGCAGGCAGCCCCTCCCCTCCAGCACTCCATCAACTGGGACAGTTGTCCCCTCCCAGAAGGAGCCCTCCCCCCACAGCAGCAGCAGGGACACTGGAGCTTGTCCTGGCTCCTGCTCTTGGCTCCTTGGTGTGGGTGGGTACACCCCATCTCAGGCCCCTTAATCTTCCGGCCTGTTCTGGACTCCAGGGCAGCCCCGAAAGGCGGAGCCTTTGTGCCCTTCTTCCCAGAGTCTCTAGGGGCTGACTCTTTTGTGGCGTGTTCTCCATCTCATTTGCATGTGGTTCATTAAATATAAACATGCATAAAAATCCCCCGCCCTGCCTCCTCCTCTCTCAGGGCCTCCTGGGAGTGTGGCTGATGGGTGTGAGTGCCTCCTCGCACATGTGTGTGGGGCTATGTTTGCCAGGAGGATGTCTCCATGTATGTGGTGCGAGTGTCCACGGCTGGATGTGAATGAGGTTTGTATCCCTTAGTTCCCTCACACCAGTGGCTGGTGTGTGATTCTGGTACTGTGCAGGTAATCAACCATGTGTGTCCCCATGTAGGTGTAGCCCTTACAAAGCGTACCTCAGAGCCCTAGGTGGGGGCAAGTGCCTCAGCTGGGGTCCCCATCAGGCTTGGTGAGATGATCCCCAGGGAGCACCATCAGGTCAGCCTGCCCTGTCTCAGGCCAAAGGCTGTGTTTGCCCAAGGGCCTGCAGGTCAGCCCAGGGGCTTGGCGGTGGGAGCCGAGGCACTGCTGGGGCCCCTCTACTGCCTCCAGGCCTCAACGTCCAGGAAGGCAGGACTGGACATGGGCCCAGGGAGCAGAGAGGGCACCCAGGCTCCTGGGTCAGCCATCTGTGCTCCTGGGGCCCTGCCCATTCTGGAGCTGGGGAGCTGCCTGCCCTCTCCTTACTCCAGCTGGAGAGGAGCTCGAAGTCCCCCAGGGACCTGGGGCGGGGACTAATGGCCCTGCTGACGACAGATGCCTCCTCATTAAGGAACCGCATCCTTTTGTGTTTCTAGCCCCCATCCTGGGCTCCCTGGCGGCACCTAGAGCTAGGAGCTAGCCTGAGGAGAGATACAGGGAGAGGGCTGCTTCTTATCTGGGAGCTGGGGATGGAGAGTCTGGCCTCTATCTCTAGGCCCCTCCTTCTCCCCCAAAACTAGACACCAACAACAGCAGGGGTTGCATGTGATGCTGGAGAGGAATGCTCCAGCAGGAAGGGGTGGTAGGTAAGGAGCCAGTCCAATCCTCTTCACAGTGCACAGCAAGACTCCTAGGGGGCCTCTGGGGCCCCCTGGATGCAGCTGAGCCCCCTCCCCGCCTGGGGCTTCACATTCCCCTTCCATCAGAGCAGCACTTCACGGTACCTCTCTATCAGCTTTACTTAACTGCAGTTCTGCCACACACTTCATTTGAAGGGTAGCTTTGCCTTTAAAAGTGCTTGAACACCACTAATCTAAAGCCAACCCATTCATTTTAGGAAGGGTAAACTGAGACCCAGGCCCACTTGGTGGCTCTATCAGCCAAAAATCAGAAGTTCCATGCCCCAGGCCCTTCAGCAAGTTTTTCACTCTCCAAGGGCAGGTGACCCCAGAGAGGACTGCATCATGGACTGGCCTCTTCTCACTGGTTGGGAGTTGGTGCATGTTGCGAGTTGCAGGGAGGATAATGAGCCTCAGAGATGGGTCCTCAATCCCACCCTGGAGCCCAGCTGCGTACACAGGTGTTGTCCAGGGGAAATGGGTGCAATGGGAGGGTGTGGTCCTCTTCATCCGAGGTTCCTTCTTCCCTCCCCTTCCTCACACTCCTACCAACCCTTGGGTCAGCCCTGCATATCCCTCAGACATCCAGGGGATTGCCGTGAGACCTGGGCAGGCACTGTCAGAGCACCGGTCCTCTCGTCTGTAAATGAAGGGGTGAATGCCTGGTACTCTTCAGGGCCCTTCCAGCTCTGACTCCTGCCACCTTCATAGACAGGCCCTTCTCCAGACTCAGCTTAGCTGGGGTCTCTTAGAATCTCCCATGCACTCCTAGTTCATCAGTAACAGCATTTTTTCTTTAGGAAGTCAGAGGAGAAAGTTTTTCAGGGCACTTAGGGCTCCTCCAATCTCTTAGGTGGGCCATGGTTCGTTTACTAGTCTGTTTTGCCTTGGCTTGTGCTAGCAGGCCACAGAGCAAGGGGGAAGCTGTCCCTCATTGTGTATCTCTGGGGAGAGGGTCCCTGGGCAAGCATGCGTATGTGGGGTCGAAGGCTGGACCTCTGAGCACCTGAGCCCTGAACAAGTCATCCTGGAGGCCACTGTGTGGCTGATGATGGTGTACACAGGTTACTGTTGTTGCTGGAGACATTGTTTGTGGCCAGTGTCGGTGGTATTTGTCCGTGGCTGGTGGACATGAAGGTGGTGCTGTGGCCTGTGGCTGTAGATGCTTTATACTCCTGCTAACACCTGTCCCTCCTTTATATTCCAGTAGGGACAGTTTTGGGTCCCTCACTTCAAGCTGGGTGATCGGAGCGGGTAATGGGCAGTGGCTGGAGGCCCTTGAGGTGTGAGGGCCAGAGAGAGCGACAGGAGGACAAAGGCCTGCATGGCGGCAGTTGCGGAGAAAGGAAGAAGAAAGAACCTTTGTCCCCAAGCAATCTGAGAAGGAATCTCCCAGCCTCTCCCTGCTCCCACCATTGGTACAGCCTGGCTGTGGGGAAAGACAGGGGCAGAGAGAGAGCCCAGCAATCCGTTGGGCTGGAAGGGAGCAGAAACAGGCAGGAAATGGCTTCTGGACACCCTTATAAATCACCAGAGGGGAGGGGTCTCCTGAGAGTCAGATCTAGAGGGGCTCGGGGAGGGGAGGGGGACTTTCCTCCTGGTCCAGGACCTCTGGTGAGGTCAGGCCTGGATCTGATTAGACAGGCTCCAGGGGGACGCTGGGGGGCAGCGGAGGGTCAAGGCATAGTGCTGGCAAGGAAGTTGGCAGCATCCCCCAGGCCCAGCCTCCCACCTCTTGGCTACAACCCAACTCCTATCCGGTGTGTGATGACAAAAAGATCATGGCATGTTGGGATGGAGAGTTCAAAACAGCCTCTGCAGAAGCCGGCAGCACCAGGGGTCTGAGGCACCAACTTCCCCCACTCACACAGCCATTCAAGAGGAACAACCATGAACCACAGACCCTTCCAAAGGGCAGCAAGGCCAGTCCCTTCCTTGTATCCATCCCTGCCAAGGACCAGTGACACCCTGGATGCCCAGCCCCTACTCAGGCAGCTCAGGTGACTGTAACATTTTTCCTTACACTAGCGATATGTCTGAATCCCACATGATTCTACCCACTGCCCCCAACTTCCCCCTTGAGAATCACATTTTCCAATATAGTAGCCAGCTATTAAGCACTTGAAATGTGGCCAGTCCAAACTGAGATGCGCTGTGAGTGTAAAATACACACTGAATTTCAAAGACTTAGTATAAAATAACAAGACACTAAGCATTAGGGAAATGCAAATCAAAACTACAATGAAACACCACCTCACACCCATTAGGATGGCTACTATAAAAAACAAAAACAAGGGCCCGCCTGGTGGCGCAGCGGTTAAGTGAGCGCGCTCTGCTTTGGTGGCCCAGGGTTCCCAGGTTCGGATCCTGGGGGCGCACCGATGCACGGCTTGTCCAGCCATGCTGTGGCAGCATCCCATATAAAGTAGAGGAACATTGGGGGCCAGACCCATGGCTTAGCAGTTAAGTCCACGCACTCTGCTACTGGCGGCCTGGGTGCGGATCCCGGGTGTGCACTGACACAGCGCTTGTCAGGCCATGCTGTGGCGGCGTCCCACATACAGCAACTAGAAGGATGTGCAACTATGAGATACAACTATCTACTGGGGCTTTGGGGAGAAAAAGGGAAAAAAAGGAGGATTGGCAATAGATGTTAGCTCATGGCCGGTCTTCCTCAGCAAAAAGAGGAGGATTGGCATGGATGTTAGCTCAGGGCTGATCTTCCTCACACACACACACAAAAATAATAATAATAAAGTAGAGGAAGATGGGCACGGATGTTAGCCCAGGGCCAATCTTTCTCAGCAAAAAAG